CATTTCTTTTGTGAGACAAGTCCCAGAGGCCAGGAGGCCTCTCCAGCTGGTGGGAGCAGCAATGTTTCCGACTATCCTAGAAATGGATTCTGTCCCCTTCCCCAGAGGAAGGCAGCGGGAGTCTCAGAAATCAGGCACTCAGCCCAGTGGAAGGGCTCTCCCCTCAACCCCCCTGCCCCTGCCGGCCTCACAGGGTGGCAGAGGAACTGTTGGCTAGAAACATGGCTTGAAACCACATGGCAAGCATTAAAACCTTTTTTTGGATTCTCCTTTTTACCTCTCAAGTTTGTGGGCATTTTGCATTTTACTGCAACGTATGCCATCACTGTTCTAACAGAGAATAAATTACTTTAAACATCTGGATAACACCTCTGCTCCTCCAGGAAGGTATCTTATTCACCCTGTGGTTTTGCACCCCAACACAGTCTGGCCGCCCCTGCCTTCACCCAGGGTAGAAAGGTCCCATTTTTAAAAGCACTGGGGTCAAGACAATAAGCTGCATTCACTCTTCACTTGCTGCCTTTCCTGGGGGGAAAGCCATGCTTATACGGGAACTCTCACAGACACTGGGTCTGGGGGACACCCCACCGGCGGCAGAGGCTGTTCACGAGGACCACCTCTTTCTCTCCCAGCCCCGACCCCAGGGAGGAAATGCTGAACACCGGTGAGGGGCTCCTGTGGAACCAGGAGATAGGCCCCGTTCTCTCACCTAGAGATACACTATCATCTGTCATCAGCCCACAAAGGATGCAAAACTCAGACCCACCCTGTTCTGGGACCATCCAGACTTCTACCCCAGGGAAGCCAGCTTCACCTGCTCTCACTTCTGGGATCTCCCCCACCTCCGGGCCCTCCAGGCCCCACAGGCCTCAGGAAAGGCAGTCACATCAACTGAACAGAAACTCTAGGGCAGGGTGTGGGCAGCTCTGCAAATGGTACTGAGGCTCGGAAAGAAATGGTCACTTGCCTGAGGTCACAGAGCTCCTCAGTGGCAAAGCCGGCTGCGCCTCTCGTAATGGACACTTCCCTGTATGGCACCTGCACCCTGCCGACAGTAGAGGACGCGCTCCCCGGGCACAGGGCCTGCATTTCTCTGCGTCTCAGCACTAGGCTGGGCCTTTGTGGGTGCTGTCGAATGCTTGCCGGGTTTAATCCACATCAGCAGGTCTTGGGTCCTAAAGACCCATGTTGCTGCCCACTGGCTGACTTCTGGGGACTCCAACTTCCTGAAAACATAGCTTTCTACCTAAAGATAGCCTGCCCTGGGGAAACCCCCACTGCTCAGCCTGACCTCCCATTTGCCTTTCTGCCCCAAGCCTGGGGAGAACACAGCCTCAAACAGCAGCTTCCAAACCACAGGGCTGGCCTCCAGGTCTCTTCCTGAGCTGCCCTTCACATTCCTGCCAGGCCGAGGGCTTGGCCCCCTGGCCGCTGCGGGAGGGGGAGATGAGCTGGGGAACTGCCCTAACGCCCACTCCCTGCCTTTGCTTAGGTCACTGAACCCGTCTGGAAGGCCATTCCTTTCTCCTTCAACCTCAGGTTCTTCCAGGGAGGACCAAGCCAGGAGCCCTCATCTTAGCAAAATAGGGAAAAGGTCTACAGCAGTAGTTCTTCATGCTGGCTTCCAGCAGGAGGGACTTTACAGTTATAGGTACCTGGGAGAGACCATTTAAGCCAGAATTGCTGGGGGTGAGGTAGGTTGGGGGTCTCATATTGGTATTGAAAAAAATAATCACTGGCTGTGACCTCTATCAGACTCTCAGAGACGTGCCCCACAAGTGTTAAGCACCACTCATGGTTATGCCACTTGGTGAGAGAGCCAGGCCAGAAACCCAGGGCCCCAGCACAGTTCATACATCAATACCACCTCCCTAGGCCAGGCTAAGTCCTTCCACTCCTTCAGGACAGATCTGGTTGACTTAAGCCCGAGGGACAGATCTCAGCTTTGTGGGGATCCCCAGGCAGCCAGAGCAAATGAAGGCAGCAGCCTCTGTGTTTGGGGTCACTCCCACCTTTACCTTCCACTGCCCGACGGGATCCTGGGGCGAACTTCAGATTTGGTGCACTTTCACCAAAAGTCCTAACCTAGTCTCCCAAGAATCCCAGGGCCTGTCCGCCAGCCCCCAGTACTGAGGCCTGCACTCCTCCTTCACTCTGGCTTTGAGAGGCACCGACCAGTTAAGGGCCAGAAGAGAAGCTAAGCAGCAAGGCCGTGGCCCTGTCCAGGGTCCTGACTTCTGGTCAGAGCACATTTATCTCACTCTGGTGTAGTGCACACCCCTTGATTTGTAAGGTCAGGGTGCACCGAGAAGAGCAGCTCCTGGCAGGTCACCCCAGGGCAGCCCCACCAGCCTCGTCCAAATCTCAGCCCAGCCCCTTCCACAGCCATTGGCTTCACTGTGTGCCAGAGCTGCTGCTACACTAAGTATTCCTGGTCCTCAACCCCGCCTCCCCCCACCACTTCCAGATGAGGAGACAAAGGGAACCCTGGGTCCCATGGCCCTGCAGCCACCAGGAGGGGAGCTCCTACACACATCAATCTGCAAACATTCTGCCTGGGAATTTGCGCCAGATTAGGGGCAGACCACTTGAGCAGCCTAACAACCACTCCACCGGCTTCTCACCCCAGGGCAAGGGGTGGGCGGGGCCCCCAGGTCCCTTCTCACCTGGGTGTCCAAAGCCTTCAGCCCCCAGACCCGGCAGACTACAAAGGCCCTCCTCCCCAGCCTGTTCACAGAAAGCGAAGGCAACAGGCCAGTGAAGAGATTTAGTGCAAACATTATCTGCCGCCAAATCCTCGCTTTCATCTCTGCCTTTTTGTGAGCCAAATAATTTGGAAGCTTTCATTGATGGTTTCCTCTCTGCCCCATGAAAACTTGGAATTTATGCTGGCTACGACTCCTCACTTAGGGGACAGGGAAATCTCCCAGGCTGCTCTCCAGCCTGCTTGTGGGAAGGAGGAAAAGCTTTTCTCTGGTGACAGTTCGAGGTGGGGAACTTCTTCAGCCCTTGGAGTCCAAGCCTTAAGGGTACGTGTCTCTAGTCAGGCCTCAAAGCCCTCTGCAGAGATTCCTGGGCTCCCAGGGCCACGCGTAGCCCGTCCCTAGCAGAGCCGGGCATCAATACCCTTTTAATAGTTTGACTCTATTTTTAGGTGGGGAAAGGTTCAAAGGCTCTGTGCTGGAAAACCCAAGGCAGGGGACTTTTCAGCCCCATGCAAATCACTCTTTGCCCCAGGCCTTCACTGACACCTGTTTCCTCCCAGCAGCTGGCCCATCCTGGGTGAAGATGACAACCTGGCCCTTGGGATCTCTGCCGAGAGGCGGCCCCTTTCTCCTGCAAGTGTTTAGAGAGAGCAGGGCAGGGGGAGTCTGGGAAAGGAGCCCCCCAGAACTTCCCCACCCTTCTCCAACCTGACCAGCCACTGAAAGCAGGGGGTAGCTTCCTCATCTGCAAAATGGACAGGACAATTCCTGTCTCCTCAGACCAGGAAGGCACATAAAGGTGGCTAATATTTTACTAATTCAACTACATCAACTGGAGAGCCCTGTGGGTCTCAAGACATGGGAGGGGAGTTGGGGGGTGGCCCTAGAGGCTCCCAGGGCCCTAGTGTACTCTACTTTCCAGTACATTCCATCCCCACTCAGCAGGGCTAGTCCAGGAAGGCACTAAGAGCCTCAACACAGCATCCTCCCATGCCCACCTCACCGCCTCATTCATTCAGGTCTCTACTGCATTCTTGGAGATACCGCCTTGATCTCCACGCACCCCCACGGAGCCCAGGGAGGACACTAGGTTGGGGGATGGGGGTGGAAAGCATCAGATCTCAAAGGCCCTCCCCACCCGCCCACCCTCTGAAGGGAGAGGTAGGGCAGGCCAGCGTGAGGAGGAGACAGGGCAGTCCTGGGTTGGCTACTGACTGTTTCACCGGGATTTCCCCTGTGGTGGGGACAGGGAGAGGCGGGCGCCAGGCACAGGAAAAAACCCTCCCCCAGCCCCATGCCCAGGGCTCTGCCGCAGCACTCTGGCACTGCCGGCCCCAAGAACAGCAGGTCTTGCTATATAACCTCGGGATCCTCAGCTTCTCTATTCTAACAGGACCAAGAACCCTGGACTAGCTTTAAGGATTAAAAAATTAAAGTGCCCAGCCCAGCATCTGGCTCCCCTGTAGGCTGTAGAACAATGACTATCTAAAGGGCCAGATTCAAACCACCCCCTGCTCGGCACTCAATGCTCTTGCAGCCAGCCCCACCTGTGCCCACTGCAATGCACTGAAGGTCTAGTAAGAGGGGGTGATGAGGCCCCGGGATGTGATTTTTCAGGGGATGCAGGAAGCAAGCTCCCAAGGTCTGCCGTCTACCCATCCCCACGCTCTTCTCCACAACTCCAGAAGCCACAAACACCGCTACCTGCCGCAAGAAACATCCCAGGTCAAAGTTAAGGAAAGCTTACATGCAGATGCATGTAAACAGGCATAATGAGCAGATGACTGGGCTGGATGGCTCTGAGGACTCCATCCTTCATCTTTATGTCCAAATCCTGTCACCCTTGGCGGCTTCCAAAATGTCCCAAATCCTACTGCTTCTCACTCCACTGCTGCCACTCAGCCACTATCATTTCCACGCTGGACAACTGCAGGAGAACCCTCCCTGCCTCTACTCTTGGTGCCCACATTCCCTTCTCACAGCAGCCAGTGGGACCTTTTATTAAAGCATCAGACCATGTCATTACCCTGAGTAAGATCCTTGAACAACTTCTCGTCTTGCTCAGATCTCTAGAAACATCCTTCCAATGCCTACAGGCTGTGAGACCTGGTGTCTCCCCAAACCCCAATTCATTCCATGTAGCCACACTGGCCTCTCCTCGAAATGCCTGTGTCTTGGCCCAGAAAGCTCTTCCCACGCACAGCAGCACAGCTCACTCCCTCGCTTCCCACAGGCCTCTGCTCCTGTCACCTTCTACCTCTGCTCATCTTTTTCCAGGACACCTGTTCTACCCACCTCCGAGGGCTTCTTTTCGTTTTGCCGGGACCAGCCCGACTTGGTGCTGCTGGGCAGTTTGGAGCATCTTGACGCGGATGTGGCGTGACCTGCAGAAAAGACACAGCCTGTTAGGGGCCCCTGGAAGGCCAGGAACACCAGCCACCCACGTCCAAGGACAGGAAGCCTGTAGGAGAAACTCTGGCTCAAATGTTCTGGAGGTGGAGACCTCTGGGAGCACCTGTCTCTGCTCGGGGCCTCCTGGATGGTGAATGGGGACACAATGCTTCCTCCACTCACCAACCAGAAGGGAAGTGTCACCCTGGGCAGATGACCTAATCACTCTGAGCCTCAGTTTGCATTTCTATAAAGTGGAGACAAGAGATTAACTGTCTTCAAAGAGTTGTTGTGAGAATTAAATGCTATGACTACGAAGTCTTAGCACAGTTCCTCTGTCAGACGGCAACATGAACTATTATTACCAGGGTCTAAGGCCCTTGCTGGACTTCAGGGCTGTGGCCTCTACTGCAAGGGGTCAGAGCAGCAGCAGCCACGGGTGGGTACAGTGGCGGGGCCTGATGGGAAGGGAGTTTGCCTCAGCCTGGCGCAACTCTGATGCAGCTACAGGCCCAGCTGACCACCCTCGCAGGTGCCTGGCCCTCAAGGGTTCCTCTGCCGGCAATAAGGTTCGGAGCAGAAGATGCAGTTCTTCTTGGCTCTACTGAGACAAGCCACAGGCAGTGCGGTTGTAACCAGAAGCCGGCTGCTGTGCTCTCCTGCCACGGCAAGGGAGGGCCGGCCGCCAGAGCCTCCCTGAGCAAACAGACCCTAAGGGCCAAGTAAACGAGACCTGGACGTAGGCGAGGGGCTGGGGCCTGACCGGCCCTCCCACTCCATCAGTCCTCGGGCTCTTGGGGGCTGTGAAACTCGGGGACCTCTAGAAGGCCTTGGAGGGCTCCCTAATCCCAGCTGCCCACATTGTGAAGAAACTGAGGTCTAGAGTTCACAGGGTCTCCCCGGCAAGTCTCTTTTACAGCCGGGCCTCCGCCAGGGTGCACCACGTGGGACCCTCCTGGCAGTGGGCCTTTCCTGCATAGGGCAGAAGGAACTCCTTGCTCTGACCAGCTCATGCAGGCCCAGGGTCCTGAAGCATCTCACACAAGCTGCCTTCTAGTACCAGAGAAAAGCACTCAGCTTATGCTGGCCTCCTTTCTCTCCCTCAAGTTTCAGAGGAGGCTCCCTAAGCCCCATTCTCTCTTTGACATGCCCCACCCCACAGACATCCAACTGACACACCCAGCCCATATGCAAGTCTTCCTCTGAGATTCGACTGCCAAGATCCCATGAAGGTCAGACTCCTTCACTAACTTCTTTAGCAAACATTTACTGAACACCTATTATGTGCCTGAAACAGCAGTGAGCAAGCCAAGACCCGTCTTACCAAGGAGCTTAACCACTGGTTAGGAAACGATACTTATCAGGTAATGACAAATTTGTTGTACAGAGTCCTCCTAGGGCCCTGATTCAACAAGAGGGCCAGAGAGAGGGACGCTTTCCTAGAAGCCAGGAGTGGCATATGCAAAGGCCTAGAGGGGAGTTGATCAGTTCGGACCAGAGCAAAACATCTGGGGCTGAGACCTAGAGGGTAAAGGGGAGCACAGTGAAGGGGACTGCAGAGTCGTGGAGGCCATGGGGCTACAGAGACTTCCTCAGGAGCAAAGGGACCTGGCCTGAGTCATGCTTACATCAGCACTGGGAGCGTGGGGCAGCCTCCCCCAGCCGGGGCCCAGTGGGCCCCTGACAATTATTCAAATGCTTTCCCTGTAGGAGCCCCGCATGCAAGGCCTTACTGTCAGTGGTGTCAGAGTTGTCACTGCTGATGGAGTATTTCCGCCTCTTCTCTTCCATCTGCAATGAAAGGCAGGCCCCATTATACTTGCAGGAGGCTTGGGAAATCCTCAGTCTCTCAGAAAACTGCCCATAACCTACCTCCCCACACTCGCCCCACTACAGCGGCTCTGCCCTGGCCTTCCCCTCAGCCAGCCTCGCCCTCTTCCCAACCGTCAGGGATTCCAGGGTCCACACCTCTCACCTCCTGAGCCCAGAGCCTCACATGAGTAAGAGTCTAGTCAGGGGCCATACAGAGGGAGGGAAAGGGGGTCAGAGCCCCAGACCAAACAGTGACCAGGTCCTGGCCCACCCCAGCTTCCACTCAAGGAAACTCAGGCCCACCAGAGAATCCACCCCCACCTGCAGGTTTCAACTGGTGCCCTAGAGGGTGCTGAGGGGTGGGCACAGGGAACAAGACTGATTCTTTCTGGGGACCCATGCTATAGGAGTTTAGGTAGACAAGCCAGCCCAGATAGCCCCGAGGGCATGTCGTGAGAATGGTGGTCCAGGGCTGTGGTAACGGAGCTGGGTTGCCCTCATCCCCCCAATGTCCTCCTGCAGATAAAAGCACAAACCAACTTTATCTAGACCCCAACATTTAACTCTGAGGTAAGGACAACTCTCCCACACTGAGCTCATTCCTCTACCCCTGCTCTCCTGGCCACCTCATGTTCCCAACAGGCTGGCAAGCTGTGAGCTACTAGCTTCATTTACTGGGGTGGCTCAGGGCCGTGCCCTGCTAGTAACTGGCTGAACTGGGATTTAAATCCACAAGGTCTGATGCCTGGGCACACACCTGTTCCTACTGGATGCACTCCCCTGGGAGCTGCATCTATTCCCACCACTTCCTCTAATCCTGCAAAGTCCTGTGGCAGCCTAACCTTGCCCCTCTTCGGGGGAACACAAAGGGCTTGTTAACTTGTCCTGGATGAACAGTTAGTCAATGGCCAAGTCCTAACGTAAGAACAGATCTGCGGCTCGGGGCCAGCTCTCTCCAGCATGTTCCTGTAAAGCTGGGATGCCATCTGCCACATGCCGTGCTGCTGCACCCAAGTCTGCTCATGCTGAACCCTGGGGTTCCCTTTATCTTACTGCAGCTCCGCACAGAAAAGGAGCATTAGCTTTCCGAAGTGGGGTGCGACTACACAGACCCCTGAGCTGACCGGGACCCTCCTGTATCCACTATGACCTCAGCAGGAGCTTCTTTCCACCCCAGTGTCACCCAACAGCAGCATCAGGATGCCAGGAAGGTTCATCGGGGCTGCCTGCCACCAGCTCCACGGGTGCAGGCAAAGAGCTCTCCAGAGGGTGTAGGTGTGCAGGGGAAGCCTGGTGGCGCAAGCAGCACGAGTGCCCGGGAGACGGACGAAGAGTGATGGCTACGAAGGCCAAGCACCATGGTAGAGAAATGGGATGCCTCGGCACACCTTACTAAGCTCTCCGAAAGGCCCTTTGGTGCCAGTGGGCATGAGCTGCTTTCCTTTCTGCAGAGCTCAAAGGTGAAGTGACTTGCCCAAGATCTCAGTGCTTGTAAGAAATCTGACTCAGAAGACCACACTCTTGACCTCTAGACTTCTCTGACTCTGCACAGCAGAGTACAAGCAGCTCACGGGCCCAGGTCACGGACTAGAAGAGGCAATAATGCTCCACCACCCACAGCTGCCATCCTCGCTGTCCTCTGAGGTCTGAACGTGACAAAGGTGACTTTGACAGAGCCCTGACTCTAGCCTACATCTTGCCAGCCCAGCCCTGTCATGGGTGGGCAAGAAAGAAGCAGGGGCTGAGGTGCTATAAATGCACCCACCTGTTTTCTCCTGCCATCCTGTACATGCACACCATCATTTCTCTTCACTTCCAGCAAGGAGGGCACTTTCAAGCCAGGGTCTCCCATAGCACAGAAGCAGAAGCTCTGAATTCAGGGGCACTGAGTTCAAATCCTAGCTCCAGCCCCTAATAGACCAGGGACCTTGGGAAAGATTGCCTCCCTAAGGACACAGACTGGGTCTGGATTTTTATATAAATCTCCTGAACTTACAATGTTGGCAACTGACTCAGAAGTTTTAAGACGCTTTGAAAAGGCCAAACTAAATACATCTGTGGGCCAGAATAAGCTGGGGAGAATAAATGAGCGCAGCATAAAACTCCTAGTGCAGCGGACGGCTCTCCGTACAGGTGCTAGTTATTAACGCCATGGCAGCCTTGCTTGAGCCAGGTGGAGAGTCCTTCTGCTCGTGCCCACCGGAGGGGCTCCTCAGCGGGGCAGTGGCCCTGTGGAGTAAGGAAGGCTCCTATAACAGGACCCTTTCACGGCCAACACCCATCTCATAATGCTGCTCCCCGCTGCCCGGAGACCAACAGGTGCCCTATCAGCGTGCAGACCTGTGTCCCACCTGCAGCCAGTTCCCTGGGTAACCTGACGCCCTTGAAACACGCCAAAGTTCTACCGGGCAGGTTGTTATTAAGGGACATTTTGTGGTGGCTTAACTGGAATAATAACTAGGCTTCAGAGTGAAGCCACTGTTTTGTGAGTGAAGCTTCTTTCCTTTGAACCAAGTCTGCCCAAGGGCCTCCTTGCCTAAGGTGAGCCTCCATGTCAGTGGATAACGAAGCTCTGAGTAGGGCCTGGGCTCCCCTGTGGGCACAGCCCTTGATCCCTTGAACCTACCTCTCCAACCTAGCTAGAGGGGCAGGGAGCACTCCTTCACCAACGTGGAAATCCAGGGCTGCAAGTGCAGGGAAGGGCTGGGGTGCTAAGACTTGATCTTACCCTCTGGTTTCCTTTTCCACTCTTTCCCAATGTCACCCAAAGCCAGGTCCACCCTAGATGAGTACCTCAGTGTCATCAGGCACTTGACTTTGGGGAAAGCAAGCATTCCTGAAACCCTACTTACAAAGGAGACCCTGGGAAAGAAACAGTGCCCTGTTCCTTCCATTGGCACCAACCCATTTGCACCACCACCCCCAGCATCCCCAGCACCAAGACACAGATAGGAGGCTGTCTTTCAGAGTGTGTGGTTGTCTTAAACTCCTCTCGATGCTGCAGCAGCCCACAGCCTCTCTGGCAGGCCTTCACCCCACAGCCAACCCTTGGCAGTTCCAGGGGGCTCTCCTTTCAGAACCCACCCACTGTCCTCCCCATCTCTACTGCTACGACAGTGGTCCAAGACAGGCTCATCTCTTGCCTGAACTCTTTATTCCTCTCCTAGCTTCCATTCTTGCTCCCCCAGAATCCCGAATCCACACAGAGGCCAGAATGATCTTCAAAAAGCACAAATCAGATCGTGTCATGCCCCTATTTAAAATCTTTCAAAGGCTTCCTGCTGATCAAAGGATGAACCTCAAGTTCCTGACCACCAGCTCCTACAAGATCTGGACCCTGCCTACCTCACCATGTTCATACCGACCACCATCCTCTCCTCTCCCCTCCCACTCTCCAGCCTCACCAGCCCTTCGTTTCCTGAAAAACATACCAAATATTCCACGCTCCAAGGCCTGCCTGTGCACAGGCTGTGCGCTCTGCCTCTAACGGTCTATGCATGCCTGACTTCTCATCCAGATTTCAGCTTAAATGTCACAGAGGGCTATGCCAGGCACTTTAGCTTCAAAAAGCCCACCACCCCATTATTCAACATTTTCAGAGCATCCATCACAATGTGTGTCTGTTGGTCCACTTGCTGAATGTCCTTCTCCTGGGGAATGTACATTTCATGATAGTAAGGAGCACACCTGTCTGGATCCCTACCAGAGAGCCCAATGGCCCCCTCACATTGTACCCAGCACAAAACAGGGGCCTGGTATACATGGAGGGCCAAGTGTGCTCCTGTCTCCTCCCTCTAGAAGCGTAGAGACCACACAGTCCAGCTGGCCCGCCTGCGGCCTGCAGCAACAAACACCCGAGCCCAAGATTCTGTCCTGTTTTCACAGCCCGCCTTCCCTGTCTTAACCTCACACATTTTCCAGGAGGCTTTATTTGGTTGGGCTCCTGGCTAATGATCAATGTCAACTCAGTAATAGGGCAGCAATTTGGTGGCAGACGTTTTCTTGGCACCACTAGCCACTGGTCTTAGCGGGGGCCTCAGGTCTGGTCTTGAAATACCAATGCCCAATGCCAGCCCCCCTTTAAAGACCTCTTGGCAAATAAACTCAAATAAACACCCTGGGCCTCCATTAACGCCCTTCCATCTGACCCTGGGAACAGTGGGCCTTTCAGGCCAGCTACTGCAGCCCTCCCTGGGCAGTTAAAACACCCCAACCTGGCCTCTGGCCTCTCCTCTGGGGGCCACCAGGCCTGCCCTGTCTGCCACCACACACAGCAGGATCTCGTCTTCCTCCTTAAAAACGGGGTTTTTAAAGGCTTTCAAGCAGGCAATTTACCATTCCAGACACAATCTTTCAAAGAGAAACAAAAACTCTCCCTGTCTGAGGCAGACCGCTAAGACGTGTGTGTAATAAGATGCTAATACAATTTAATGATATTTCGGCTGGAAAACCTGTCCTCAGAGCCTCCTTGTGTCAGGAAGGCCAGACATTCAGAAAATAAGGGCTGCACACTTTTAAACCGTTTTAAACCGGGGTCAGAGCCCTACTCTTTCCTATCTCTCATTAACTTTAATACTTTCTCAGGAACAGTCATCACCATTACCAAAATGATTTTGTATACACAGATTCTCAAACGTGCTTCTCCAAGCATAGAGAAGCCCAGACTCTCCTGATACCCATTATTGCCCACACTTGCAATTCCCAGTGCCCCAGAGGGCACCCGGCTCCCCTAGAACATGTTGCCCACACCCACCCTCCAGACCCAGTTCTTGAGGGAGAATGAAAGGGGCTTTGTCTACTTTGTCCTTCAGCACCTCACCGTACTCTCCACCTCAGAGAGGGCAAAGCTCAGTCCGCTTGCTCCCAGATGTCTACCCATTGGCAACTGTAAGGTCTTTCTGATTCCTTCTTCAGAGAAGGGAGTTGGCTCTCTGGTCTAGCCTAAAGGGAAGAGATCAAAGGCCAAAGATGCATGTAGGCCCTCTTCAGGTCATTAATAAGATACCTAATCCTAATCAACTGCTTACCACATGCCTGGTGTTGGGTTTAGTCTTTTTCATGCAATAGATTGCTTAATCCATACACCCACCATGCAGTAGTTACTACTAACCCCACTTGCAGATGAAGAAACTAAGGCACAGAGGAGCTGTCACAGCTAGTGACTGCACAAGCCAGCTTGCAAATCTAAGGTATCTGACTCCAGGCAGTGTTACCCACCCACTGGCTATAGTGCACAGGCCTGTAACCCCACAACATGTCTGCGGTACTCCAGTTTCCCTAGGGGTTGTCTGAGAACCTTTCTGGGTTCCTAAGCTTTGAGCCACATGGGTAGGGGCCTATGTGGAGGACAGGCCAAGCCAGTGGCACCCTTCCAAATGTGACCTGGCCTCCCCTAAGAGAACTTGAAGGGACAACTGTCAGGCCCGCAGCACAACTGCTGGATGAGTTGTGAAGAATTTGGACTGCAATTGTGACCTGGGTCTTGGGTATAAGACAACTTACCTTCCTGTTAACCTGAACACCGGTTAACCAGAACACCTTGCTCCAAACCTCAAGGATGTAGAAGGCAGTATCAAAGGTCTAACCTCAAGACTTGGGGTGCACCTAGGGGCTGGGGACCAGCAGTCCCACCTCACTCGTCAGTGAAAGTTAACTGGAGATTTCTGACAAGCTCTTGGATCCATGTTAGTGACTGTTTAGCCAGGCAATTTAGGGAAAGGAAAAGCATTTGGATGGGAAATGTTTTGGAAACATCTGCTGCATCCCAAGCCCAAACAACTCTATCCTTAAAACACTTCATCTCCAAAGTGCTGCGGAGACCCTTGGCCAAACAGTTTCAAAACCAACATTTACTCGCTACAAGACCTACTGCCTGGAGCAAGGACTTCCCTCTGTGAGGCATTTGCTGTGGAACCAAATGCTTTTTCACTCTAAACAACAGCCAACAGCACTTGGGACACTGAGACTGCTCCAGATCAAACAAACATCCCTTCCCCGCCCCTCCCCCACTACCATGCAAACTTTCTCAATAAATTATTCGCCCACTTCAGATCAAAGCTTGTTTTGCAGCCTCTGACCTAAAAAGCAAATAGCATCTCTTAAACATGAAAGATCTCCTTCCTGCCTGGGTCGACTTTATTACTCATTCCTTCCCTTTACAGTTATTCTGTTGTTATTTTCCTCCTCCTGTTAGAGGCTCTGCGAGTCCCAGCCCGCCTGAGGAAGAAGGGACAGGAAGGATGGTGCATTCACTTGTGGCCTTCAGGTGAGAGAGGAGGGTGGGAAGAAGCCAGCACCCTGGGAACCCAGGAAACAGGGCCAGGTCCTGTTAGCAGCTCCCTGCCAGGCCCTTTTGCCAAATGTCCTACTGGGAATCTTACCAGTTAAGGGAGGAAGTTAATGCTACCGCGGGAGGAGGAGCTGGACGGCACTACCACCACCTGGCCAGGACTCTGTTTGCAAAGATAAACGTTAAGAGGACGTCCTGACAGACTGGGCTCAAACCTGAGGGCTCCTCCCCCTTCCAACAAAGGCAAGGCCGCAGGCCAGTCGGGCCCGCTCAGCCTCTCCGCCGTCACCTGGGGCACTGCTCTGAACGCAATCATGATGCTTCCTGATGACCCCTGTCAACTCAGCCCCCGGATAAAACTTTGTGCCTCGGAATCCCGCACTGGATGAGCGTGGGGTGCAAAGCACAGGGGCATATTTTGAATCTGCAGAGACCAGAGTCGCCGGGTGCAGTTCGCCTCGGCACGCGGCAAAGGGAAACACAGCTTTTCGCACCCCCACCAGCCCGGGGCAGGAGACCGGCGACCAAGGTGGTTGAAAAAAAAAACTGTCCCGGGCCGCAGCAGAGGCTGAAGGGATTGCAAGGAGGGCTGCGCACGCCTCCAGCCTGCCCCTGGAGGCAGTCCGCGGGACGGCAGGCAGGAGGCGCGCCGGCGTGATTCCGACCGCGGGAGCCGGGAGGAGGAGCCGGAGGTGGCTGCCGCGGGCTTCGACCCCAGCGAAGGAAGCGCAGGAGGCGGTTCAGGCAGGGGGCGGTGCCAGGTGGACTAGACGCCGGGGGCGGGGGTGTGGGGAGGCGTTAAGGTGCTGCGGGTTAGGGTAGCCGAGCCCTTTGAGAGGTGGGCAGCCGTGTGTGGTGGGGAACTGGGTGGGAGGGGGGCTGTCCTGGGCCTCTAGAAGCTACAGGGAAGCCCTCCCGCCTGTCTCTCAGGCATCCTCATCTTCTGATATAACAGCTATGAATCTTGGCCTGGAGAAGAGGGTGTCTCAGAGCCCAGGGATAGGCGGGAAGGGACTGGGGGAAGCCACAAGTCTGCACTCAGGAGGGGAGGAAGCGGCCGGGAGCCGCTCCGCAGGCGCAGGCGAGTGGGTGGGAAGGAGGGAGGGAGAGGGAGGGAGGGAGGAAGGAGGTGAGGCCAGGAAGATGCCACTGCCGGGGGCGGGGCGAGGCCGGGGATCGAGAGAGGGCCTGCCGCGGTGCTTGGTGGGGGCGGGGGCCGCAATCTCACTCATTTGGCGGTCAGGTGTGCAGGTCCCAGGCTGGGGCCGCCACTTGCCTACATCTTCCCTGTACCACTCAGGGCGTAGGGGCGGAGACGGAGGGCAGGGGACTGCAGAACCGTACCCGGAGCGGGACGCGAACCGGCAGACTTGGGAGAAGGTAAACAAGGGCCACGCCCCCTACCGTCGCCCCGCAGGCGCGCACCCGCCGCTCCGGCCGCCGCCAGTACATTTCCACTCTCCCGGCCCTTCTCCCCTGCCGGACTCCTGCACAGCCCGGAGCGGGGGTGGGGGTGAGGGCTGCCCGCGACCCCAGCCCGCGCTCCCCGCACTGGGGTTGCACACCCTGCATACTCACCTGGAAAGAGTGTCCCCCGCCCGTCCAAAACAGTTTAATTTGTGCAGAACCTTCGCGCACGAGAGCCGAACATGCTGCCCCCGCGTGCAGCGCCCGCGTGCACCCAAGCCGGAGAGGGGGCGACAGGGCGGAGACCGTGGCCCCCGGAAGGTGTCTGGGACCGGACCGGCTGCACGTGAGCCCATCGCGGGGTCATGTGCACCAGCTCAGCCCGGTTCGGCGCCCGGACGTGCTGCGTATCAACAAAATGAAACTCGGGGCGACAGAAAAGCAGATAGCTGCTCCGAGTCCTCCGAACCCCTGTCCCCGGCCACGCTACCTGTCCGCACCGGTCTCGCCGCAGCCCCTCCGCTCGGCCGGAGCTCGCCGGGCAAGTTGCAGCCCCGGCGCGCCCCCGCCCGCCCGCGCCCCCATCGCCGGCCCGGGGGCGCTTTGCCGCAGTCATTAATAAAGAAGGTCGCCAAGCTCACCCTTCCAAAAGTTGTTGTGGCATGCGTCCCTCTCAGCTTCCCCGCAATGTACTCTTTAAAACAGGACTGACCAACATGCGCAATCTCTCTCCCCTGTGCTGTGCATCCACCCCCACCCCCCCGCGCTGGCTTCCTAGAACAGGCAGCCAGCAGGAGAGAGAGGGAGCGAGCAAGAGAGCCAGCGAGGGAGCGAGAAGCGCTGGCAGATCTGTTGCAAAAATACAAAATAACGCCGTGGAGATGCGCAGGGCCCATCACCGGGGGCTGGATCTTACCTTCCTCTGCGGTGCCTTTACGAGGGGCGCTGCCCTCGGCTACGCGCCGCGGCAAGGGCCAGCGCGGGAAGGATGCTCCCGAAACCCGGAGCTCCTGGGGCCGGTGCAGGCGGGCGGGGGGCGCGCATCCATCCGGGGTCGCGGCGAGGGAGGCGGCCGGGCCAGCGGCGTCCTCGGCCCCGCACCCCTGCCGGGGACGGTCAGCCCGCGGGACCCAAGTCCTTGCCGCTAGGAGTGGGCGCAAAGTAACTCCATGGACGCTGCTCACCCCCCCCCAAAAAATATAGCCTCCAACTGCGATGGCCGCGGTCGACACCATTCACCAAACCCCTGTGTATGTTTCTGTTTCTTTTTAAACCAAGACTTCCTTGTGATCTCTTTTGAAAAAAAAAATGTGGTGGGGTGGGGGTGGGGTGGGGTGGGGGCGGGAGGAGAGAGGGAGGGGGAGTAGCCACTTTTTTCTTATTCACTCGGATCTCCACTCCTGACTCCCCCCGTCGCCCGCCCCACCCCCTGCCCAGTTGTTTGGCTTCAGCAGCGGGTCCAGGTAACGTCGCAGGCCTCCAGTGGGGGAGGGTGCCCCGCCGGGCTGCCCGCCTGCCTGCACCTCGGGCCTGGGCTCCCCATGGGCTCTGGGGCGCCCCCAGCCCGCCCTGTCCCTAGGGCCGGGCCCGAGCGGCGGCTGCGTCCGTGCAAGTCCCATCAGGTCTGCACACACTTCACACACTCACACACATACCCCGCCCCTCCACTCTCTCACACTTTCTGCTCACACCCCGCCCCCTTCGCTCCCCAGACCCGGGCAGCGCCCCCCGCAACCTTTAGAAAAAAAAAAGCAAGCTTATACTTAAAAAAATCTTTTGGCGCCATATTAATGACGTACTTAAAATTTGCCATTTCTCCCTGCGTCAAAAAGACGTTTCTTTGCAAATAACAGCCTGAAGGCGACATTCACGGAGGGAACGAGGTTTGCACCGAGCACCCCGCCTCCCGGGGCTTCAGCGCTAGAAGACCCTCGCCCTAGGCCCTGCTTCTGAATCGCTGGCTTAAAAATGCGAATCAAATAAATCGCGTGGCGTTTTGCAGCGCCAGAAGTAAGCAGAAAGTGCTGGCTGGAGCGGAGGGGAGGGGCACGGGCGAGTCTGGGGGAGGGGGCGCGGCCCTCCTCCCCCACCACAGCAGATGGAAAGTCATATCCCGGGCGGGGGAAACTTGAAATTGTGGGCGACCTCAAGAAATGAGGGGCGGTCCGTAGAGAGGGTCCCTCCGGGGCTCGTCGCCCCCTCCCCCAGCCTGGGTTCCTCCAGACGCCCCGCTCAGCCCCGCATTTCCGGGCGGTGGGGAACGCAGTGATGGGTGGGTGGGGGCTGCACGTCCTGGCCCCACTAGGAGTTTGCCCCGTGGTGTTCCCTTCCCCCTCGTTCGTCCTCCCCACTTCCGCTAAAGGGTTAAAAGACGAGGGGGCAACTTCGAAAGGCTGGCACTTGGCGAGGAAGCGGGCGCCCCTCTCCCCACCCTTCGCCGCCTCGCCCCTCCTCCTCCGGCTCCACTTCCCGACTTGACCTTGTGGTGCACAAACAGTGCGCTCGGATCCTCGCAGTTTCTGGAAGAAAAGCTTGCGCTCGCCAGGCGGGCGGGCTGTTGGGCGGCTCGCGGGCGGTGGCGGGGCCTTGGGTCCGTTCCCGGAGCCGCGGGCCACACCCACCCAACCCGCGGCGCCCGCCGCGCTCACCTTCTCTCGAGGAAGGAGCAGGGCTGGCCTCCTGGATGGGGAGGAGTTGAGAGGGGGGGAGCTGCAGACTTCTCTGGATGCTCCCAGCTGGGCGGGGGGCGGTGGTGGTGGTGATGGTGATGATGGTCTGGTCTCAGGCGGGGTTTGGAGGGGGAGAACTGAGAGCCTGGACCAACATCCCCAAAACATCATTGGCAACTTTTTCTGCCTCCTCCCTTTTGGCTGCCCCTCCAAAGGATGATCCAGTAATTTTTTTCAGCTCACCTTTGGCTTTGAAGGCACGTGGGTGAGTTGTGAACTGGGACAGGAACCGCCTTCTCCAAGACTGAAGGTTGTTTATTCTTTTTTTTCCCCCTCCACCTCCTTCCGTGGAAAAATAAATATCAGTTTACATAAGATGACATTTATGTGACAATTAAGATTCCCCAATGGAATGTTGTGAACACACTTGCTTATAGGAGAAATAAATCTAATAGTAAACAAACTAATAATAAGCAAAAATCCTCCAACAGGGCGGATTGTCGACACAACAAAGAGGGAGATGATGAATGCTGAAATAAGCACATTTTGCAACCAGAAAGAAATATGAGCTCAAAGGGAGTCACTACAACATTTCTCTTCCTTGGCCTTCATTCACAAAGTCTGGGGAGGCTTGTCTGGTAAGATTGGAGGGCTACGTATAAACTCTCAGTTGTATCTGGCTGTAGCTCTTTGGTCAGTTGGTATGATTTGTCCAAGCCCAAACTCAGTGCCTGAAAATATGTCCGAAGCTGTGAGCACGTAACAAAATGGTTACATGCCTGGATTCTTATCCTGGCTCTGCCATTCAGAAGCTGCTTGATATATGGACAAGTGAATTAACTTCTTTGTGTCTTTTTTTTCCCTCTTCTGTAGAATGGGATGGTTGGAGGGTTTCTGAGATCACGTGTTTACACGCACATATATGTATATGTGTACATTTACATGCTGTATGTGTAAAGCAGGGCCTGGCTCAGAGTGCACAGTGCACATTACCACCTTCCCTGGTGCCTGCATTTTGGAAAGGTGCATGAAACCTGGTAAAACTTAAAAACTAGGAGACAATGATTTCTGTCTTATCCTCTTGAGGACATATACAAGATTTTCCAGTGTGGGCAAAATGGAAAAACCTGTGATAGATGGTGGATTTCATGGTCAAGGTCCAGATGGCAATGTCAGTCACACATCTGAGGTGGGAGTGGAGGCACCAGTTTACAATGGTATATTCTGGTTGGATCTAATTTCAGAAGATTTAAATGCGGAAGGGGAGTGCGCAGTCTCTTCCTCTTAGCCATCAGGATTCCATAAACCTTGGCAAGCAGTTATAAATGACCTAGAGAGATGGAAGAGAGAGGGGTGACCATTTATAGAGTACCTGCTCTGTGTTGTGCACTATGTGAGCCGTCTCATTTTATCCTCACAAAAACCCATCTTACCTATTCAGAAAGGTTTAGTAATTTACCAACAGTCACACAGGTAGCAAGTGGTGAGAGAACTGGTACCTAGTCCCACAGACCCTGATTGGCTTTATGTTTTCCATTTTACCACACTGCCAGCAATCTATTAGTATTACTGATTTGATTGGAGATGGGGGCCTGATTGCTATACTGCGAAGAAAAAATTTTATGAGCACCAGTTTGCCTCCGAGGTGGTTCCTTGAGTTTGGGTGAGACCTAAGTACCCTCAAGAGTCCTTACAAGATACTTCCTGTTCAGGAGTGGAAGCTCCATCATAATCCTTGGGTTCCCACAGCTCTCTGCCACTGTCTAGGGTTAACCTTGAAAATGTTTCCAGAATGAAAGCAATAAAGCCAATTGTAACTACTTAACCATATTAAAAGTCTTGCAAATCACTCATTAACTTTTTTGCAGAAAAAAAAATGAGAAGCAGAATTCTTGGAGATGTAATCATTCCTTTTTTTCCCACGAATATTTTATTGAGTGCCTCCTGTGGTATTCTAGGTGCTGGGGACACAGCACAGACATGACAGACAAAAATGCCTACTCTCATGGAACTCACTTTCTGATGGAAGGGGATACACAATTTTTTTTTTAAACTAAAAAAGGATATGTGAAGGTGAGTCAGTGCTATGGAAAGAAATTAAGTAGGAAAGGGGGATAGGGACTGTGGAGATGCAATTTAAATAGAGTCCTCAGGGAAAAGCTCCCTGAGAAGGTGGCTTTGTATCATAGGATGCAAAGGAATGGGCTGTAAGGCTCTACGGGAGAAGAGCTTTCTAAGCCTTGGGTTAGGCATCCCCTCCAGAGGTCTGTGGATAGAATTTAGGGGATCTTGATCTTATGTGGGGAAAAAATTCTATCTTTATTTTCACTAATTACAATTTAGCATGTTCCTCAATTATGAATGCAGACAGCAAAACATAGTGATATTAGCAGCACCTGTGACATTGTTGCTACTAGAAATCAGATATTTTCCTATCGCATTACAGTTGTTGCAAATATCTTAAAATATTACACTCAACACCACTTCAAAATTATGCTGTGAGCTCTTGTAATTTAATGAATTAATAAGAAATATACATATTACTATATATTTCACATTTTAAAATATTTTGAGAGTTGTATTTCAATATAATTGGTTTTCTTTATCATTTATGAAACTTATTATATGGATTTAAAGATATTATACTCAGGAGTCCACAGGCATCACACACAAAAGGTTAAGAACTACCATCTCTATAGAGAGACCAGCAAATGCAAAGGCTCTGAGGCAGGAATGTGTTTAATATGTTCATGTACGAGGAAGAGTACAGGGCATTGTGAGGAATTTGGCTTGTGCTAGGAGTAATATGGAAGGTTTTGAGCAAAAAAGTGACATGATCTGACCCTGGATTTTACAAGTTACTCTGCTGTCAGATGTAGGGCAGACAAAGGGGACAGGCGAAAGCAAGATCAGTTAGGAGGTCACTGTAATAAACAGGTGAGAGATGATTTTAACTAAGACTAGAGCACTAGTAGTGGAAGTGGTCAAATTCTGTATATATGTTAAGGATAGTTCTAACAGGATTTGTTGATTGGGTGTGAGAAAACAAGAGATCAAGGATGACGGCAAGAATTTTGCCTAGAATCAATGGAAAGATGGAATTGCCATTAACCAAGATGGGGAAACTGCGGAAGGAGTAGGTTTTGGGGGAGGATAAGGAGCTCAGTTTAGACCTGTCAAGCTTGGATGCCCTTTAGACGTCCAAGTGCAGCCATCCTGCAGGCAGCTAGAAATGGCAGATTCAGCTCAGGGACAAGGTCTGAGCTGAAGACATCACTTAAGAGTGGTCAGCAAGTGAATGGTATTTAAAGCTATAGTGCTATTTGAGATCACTAAGGGGAAATGCAAATCAGAACTACATTGGGTCCCACCTCATGCCCATTAGGATGGCTACTATTAAAAAAACAGAAAATAGCAAATGTTGGCAAGGATATGGGGAAATTAGAATCTTTTGCTCTTTTGGTGGGAATGTAAAATGGTGCAACCACGTGGAAAACAGTATAGCCATTCCTCAAAAAATTAAAAATAGAATTACCATATGATCCAGCTATTCCATTTT